GTCCACTTCCAATGCTGATTTTTCAGCTTATGACACTTTTCACAATTGTTTGCCGTACGATAAATATCTGCATTTATCTCTGGCCACCAACATGTGAGCCTCGTCAATGACTTCATTTTTTCAACACCTAAATGTCCACTATGAAGATCTTCTAGGACAGATTTACGCAATGAAGGAGGAATAACAACACGATCATTTAAACACAAAATACCATCAGGAGTAGTAGATAGCTCATCCCGCTTTGAAAAATAGATAGGAAATCTACGTTTCAAATTAGCATTCTAACCTTTCCGTATAGCATTAATTATACATCCAAAGTATTTACGAGTTTCTCTAATGAGATCTGGACGTTTCACTGGTAAAGGTTGCACTAAAAAACAGTCTGAAGTATTGACAGATTTATCTTCTAGTGACTGTCGAGAAATGTAGTCAACATGTTGAATTTGTTTGGCACTCCTATGCTGAACCGTATAGTCATAGGCACTCAAAGCAATACTCCATCGTCGAACCATAGCAGCTGGGGAACGTGCTAAGGATTTTTCAGGATGATAAATAAACTTTAAAGCCTCATGATCAGTAACAATAGTGAATTTCTTTCCGAATAAATATCTATGAAGTCTTTTAACAGCCCGAAACACAGCTAATGCTTCTCGCTGAGTCTGTGAATAACCTTGTTCAGTAACAGTAAGTTTGCGTGAAACACAAATAACTGGTCTACCCTCCTGTTCCAAAACTGCGCCAATACCCACAGGTGATGCATCAGTTTTAAGCACAGACTGTACACTAGGGGAGTAAGTTCGAAGAACAGCATCACTTTGAAGAAACTTTAGTAGACTACGTAAGCATGATTCTTGTTCCTCACCCCATTTAAATGAATTGGATGTCAAAATATTAAATAAACAATTTTCACGACAAGAAAAATTAGGAATAAAACGGGAATAGTATTGAAGAGCACCCACTAGTGAACGTAGTTCCGAAAGATGTTTTTGGAGACGGTGCATTTGTCAGTGAAGCTAGTCGTTTCATATCTGGTCTAAAACCATTACCATCAACTAGGTATCCAAGACATTCCAAACTAGATACACAAAATGAACACTTATTTGGATTCACTGTAATATTCTTCTCAATTAAACGACGCAATAAGGCAATAAGTCTCTGGTCATGAACTACCTTGTCAGAACCATGAACAATGAGATCATCTTGATAAACTTCAATACCTTCAAGATCACTAACCACCTTATTCATAGCTTCCTGAAATATGGCTGGAGAACAACTTAGACCAACGAATGGGAGTTCATTGTTAATCTATAGTCACCACATATTCTAGGAGTCTTGCCGTCAGATTTCAGTGGCGTAACAATAGGAGTACCCCATGCTGAAGACTGAACCGGTTCAATTATGCCTTTTGCGCACAAATCGTTTAATGTTTTATGTAATGCATCTCGAAGACCATAAGGAATTATTCGTCTTTTAAGAAAGACTGGTTCACCCTGTACTTGAAGTTTTATAGGCTGAATTTTCATACCTCCACTGCACTTAGCACACGTGGCTATCAAATTTTTAAGTAAAGCATCATTATTTTCTTTAGAAACTAGGAAAGACAGCTCCGTTTTAAGCCTTTTCAAATTCTTTAAGCCCAGTATTTACAGTCCTGTTTCGCTAACTAAAAATTAACAAGGTATGTATGAAGAATTGTCATCTCTTATTAGCAATTCACAACATCATCATATAGGCAGTCTGTGTCCAGTAATCCCTAATATTGATACCTCAGTGGGTCGTACTACAACGTTAGGATCTAAAGATTTCAAGTTCTTGAATGAAATAATGGACTCTATGCTGCCTGTGTCCACAATAAAGTCATGACATGAACCATGAGATGTATGTAATCGCTTTTGAATATTAGTATTACCTTTCGAAACAGTAGACAAAGATAAATGATCATTAGGAACAGCTGAATCACTGGAATCTAAATTACAAGATTTAGTACTACTTGAGGCAAAATGAATAGTAGCTTTGCATACTGATTGTGTCCTATCTTACCACATCTAAAACATTTAGCATTACGAAATGCACATGAATTACAAGAGTGAAACTTCCCACATGATAAACATTTACCAAAGTTGATCCCACCTTTGTGATTTGCTTTGTAGTTCCTTGTTGAAACACCTTTCATATTTACACGAGAATAGGAGTCACTGTTAAACGAACTCACTTTTGATTGACCCTGAGATTGTATTCCATCATGACGACTAAGCAAAGTATTAGGAATATTCATCGACTGGATATCAAGTTCATTCACTGCCTTGTAGTTAATACACGCAGTTTTAGCATCTTGAAAGGAACAGTTGGGCATTCTTAACAGCTCTCTTTCCAAACCCGGTATGTTGATTCCTGCGATTAAGCGGTCTCTCAGTTGCACATGAAGTTGATCACCGAAATTACATTTGGCAGCTTGTTTCTGCAATTCAAGGATGAATTCCTTAACCTTTTGGTCATTTTGACGAGTCATCTTATGAAATTTTGCCCTTTCACGGCATTCAAAACTAGTGCACTTTACATGATTTAATAATAACTCCTTAGTAGTTGCATAAGGAAGTGAGATAGGTTTTTCTGGATATGCCAAAGTTTTCAATAAGCTGTATGCTTCTTTTCCGATGAATGTCAGGAAATGTGCCACAATTTTATCACCTTTAACATCTTTCTTGGTCATGCTCCAAATTTCAAACCTTTCCAAATAATACTCAAAAGCTTCAGAAGTTGAATGAATATCTATCTGCCCTAACGCAGGCTCCATCGCGACGCCAATATGATAATTAGGAGTAATTGAATTATAGTATGAACTAAGAATCCCAGGGATAACGCAATTGAATCAAGAAGTACTACACAAGCACTAGCGAATGTACTGTATTTAGAATTCGAAATCAAACATTCAACAATTACAAAGGAGTCATTAGTTCATTCAAACACCACAGGCACACTCAATGAACCTGTTTAGAAGGCGCACGGTAAATTTCAGGTATTCAGATTTTCATTTAAGCTACACGAAATGTGGTATTTGTACTAACAAAAAATTCCTTTGTACTTAAATCCACGTTTACTCCAAATTCCGAATGTGCTTATAGTTTCCTCTTTAATTTTAGTACTGGTTTAGTTATAATTATTAGACATATAAGTTCGATAATTTCGGATTATTATATCTGATTTTTAGTATATACATTGGTCCAGTAATTCTCATTAACCAACAGTAGTCCATATTTTTCACTTAGACATACTTATGAATCTTGGGCTGTAGCTGAAACTAGAATCTAAAAATGTTTAACATAACTAACGTCAGTAAGTTAGAGCTATGATATTATTGCCGATACAACCTCATTGGTATGTTACCTTCACTAGGCCCTTGTCGAAATCCACTTTATACTCTTCAAATGGGTTTCACATTTCAACATTAAACTTTTCAATATGTGGATCCATAGCTTTTCCTAATGACAAAACTAAAATATGTCACTCAAACGTCCATACTTTTATGAAAGATATCTGAAAATGTTGATGCATCTAAACAGTTACATATCTACAAACTTTCCAATGTAAATCCTGAGAAGAATCATTGAGAGCTATATCTGGAAACGACTTTAAAAATATCATTGATCTTCGTGCAGAAAAAGAAGTTTGACTGGGCAGACAATTGCTGTTTACAGGCAAATTCTGACAAGACTATATTGATGCGAATCTGTCATTGCGGTGATTTATACAATTCGACAATATATGGAATGAGTCTACTGGAGGTTGTTGACTAAAAAAACTTATGAATCATTACATGCCGTAATTTCGGAATCACAGTTAACCGTCTGACAATCAGAGACACATGTTTCCTGCTCTTGTTGATAAATTAAAAATCATTTTATAACCTGGCTGTCGATGTGTTCAAGATATAATACCAAAAGTTTATGGGACGGCTTGCGTAATACGTACTCCAGGAAAAATATCAATTTATTAAATGTTAAGCTAATATGTTAGAATGGACCTAAACATGTCACGAATATTCGGAGCTTAACAACACCTTGGCCAGTAGTGCCTTTTATAATCGAAAGGTCCCAACCCAGCGAAACCAGGTGTCAGATGCAAAGGGGTTTGAAGATGCATTTGATAGGCTGTCGATATATCAAGAAGCGACCAATCTAGACTGGCTTGTGGTCATATATTTGGAGCATGGCGTACCCACTCATGAACTGGCGCAGGTACGTGACCAAGCGCCTTCAGTTAGGTGAAACCATCAAAACTAATGCGGTAAGCATAAAATATCAAAGACATATAGGTTTATTGATTTTGAAGATTCATTTACTGCTACAACTGTAATACATTTATAACCGAGGATCCTAAAGCCAAGCAAACCAGGAGTCAAGAATTTGGTTCATAGACATAAGTGGGATATCGTTGACATGTTGGGAAGCGTGTGATCTAAGCTGATTATTTTTTGCAAGGGATGTATACCACGACGTGCTTAATGGTAATCTGGCGTGGATGAATAACCGAGAACCTTCAGATAAGGTGTGTCCAGTGGAACTGATGAAGTCAGCAACAGTGTTGGAGACCCATACAACTATCTATGCCATAGGTTTGTTAGCCGCTAAAGGTTAAGAAGCGAGAGATTAAGACTGTGAATGGCCTTAGTCAGTTTTCGTTGTCTTATCGTAGGTTACGGTGGTCTAACACTAGCCTATCGTATTCCAAACGGATCTTATTACGTCTTATATTTCTCTTCCATCAGGGACGGATAATCTTAAAGGATTTTCTTAAAAGGCTTAGAGACCAAGGTAAAGACGTGTCAAGATAGATTTTCATTACTATCACTGAGTTGCCAACCACTATAATTCTCTATCAGAAAACACTGTACCATCAGTTTCTTTACGTACATTTAAAATGAATGATTCCTCACAGAGCTACAAACGAAGAAGATTAATATAGGCCTTCCGATTTTTCAATTTTTCACCGAAAAATTGATTGAACAGTGAAAGTGCAAAAAGTTTTGTGGTCCGGATACAAATTCTTCGTTGCTGGCTGTTTCGGCTAACCCTCGACCAACATGAATATCTTCAGACTGTTAGGGGATCTTTCCCACCTTGCCGCACTCATAATATTGTTAATAAAAATTTATTCTTCTCGTTCGTGCAAGGGTAAGCTATCTATAAACTGCTTTCAATTTTCGCAGGCCTCTCAGGAAAAACTCAAATTATGTTTGCGTTGGTGTTTACTGCCCGATATGTTGACTTGTTCATATACTACATATCTGCATATAACACGATAATGAAGATTACATTTATTGCGTTGTCTTATTTAACGGTTTACTTTATATATGTTAAGTTCAAGGCAACTTTAGACACAAATGATCATCTGTTTCGTCTTCCCTACTTTGTGATCCCCATTGGAGGTCTCGCATGTCTTGTCAACCACAAGTTTGAGTTTTTGGAAGTAAGTTTGCATTAAATTAGTCTAATGAGGGCATCCTCCTCACAACATCATCTTTCAAATGTATTATTCATTAATTACGCGGATTGTAGATATAATTATTTCACAATGTGTAGGTTTATACTATTTGTAGTAAAAAAATCAGTTTTGAAGTATACTCTGTATATTTAGCAATATCACCTGTTAGATACTTATTAAGAACATCGAAACTTTAACACAGAAAAATCTGTGTTACATGCAAATTCTCTATGGTTCATTCTCAATGTGATAGCTCAGTATTAATATTATCAAACACATAATATACGTCACATTATTCTGGCGGTTTCTTTATTGCTTGAAAGTTCGCGCTCGTCTCTCTCTAAACCAGGTCAAGTTCAAGCAAACCGACTGCATTTGTACTATCCCCACACTTCGACTTTTATCCCTGCAACCTAGTATGTTTGGTGCATTGCTAAAATCAGACAAGACACAAATTACCATCTTTTAAGTCTTTCCATTGTTCCTGTAGGTTGTTATCTTTCCATAAATGCACTCATTTTTCAACTTGTCCGTGATACCATGGTGATCTCGGTTACCGTTGTTGAAGGTCAACAGAAGTAAAATATCTCTCGTAAACATTTTTGAGAACTGGTTTCCTTATGGATGTTGTTTGGTCTGATCACAGAAATGTGTCGAAACGAAAGATACTTCCATATCCAGTCAAGAGAGAAGTCCAATTATTCAACTTATGGTTAGAAAGGGTGCGGGTTTGAAGTATATACATATTGAGAGGTTACTGATATAACCATTAACTGCTGAACTCTAAAAAAACTCATACAGTCATACATTAGGGCTTCATCACTCACTAAGTTTCCAAGGTTGGAAAATCTGTTAATAAATGATGTTGCCGTTGCACTTTTTATTCATGGACATTGACTCATTTGTACTTTAGGTTATTGTAAAGGGTGATGTTGTACAAACTGTCAGTCAGTCTACGGTTATAATATGGGAATATTTGGGGCTACATTCGTGTAAGACTAGTCTGAAATTATTCCCACCTTATATCCCCTAATTAATGCTTCATTATATCGAAATGATTCCTAAAAAAACCTTAGATATCCTTTTAGGTGAACCGTCAGACGTAAATGTGCCATCCGAATAGAAGTTTGTTTGTATGTAAAATTTCCGTCAAGTGAGTCGAGGTTTATTACGGCCGTTAAACAAGTTTTTAATACCTTAACCTAATAGTTATTGAGCGATTAATAGTGGCCCCTTACTATTCTAAATCCGGAACATGATGAATTCTTTGTGAATGTGATTTAAAACCCGACTTTTTTGATGACTTAATGGTTAGTCGCTCTAAAGACATCGTAAGACATGGTCAACAAGGTTAATATGTTGAAATAGGTTGGAAAAAATAGCGGTTACCATTTAGTATACGCGTTTCCTCCAACTATCTGTTCATTGTTAACGATAATCTGCAAAAATTTTACCTTTTTCACATAGAATATTTTGTGATATGTTTAATAGTACTTAGCATCTGTTTGAAAAAGTAAACCACATTCAAATGCTTATGTTATGTTCTTGATAGGTACTGTGGACATTTTCTATATATCTGGAATCAGTTGCTATTTTGCCTCAATTATTTATGATCAGTAGTACAGGTGAAGCGGAAACGATAACTGCGCATTATTTATTCGCATTGGGATCTTATCGTGCTTTGTATTTGGTCAATTGGATATACCGATATTATGTGGAAGATGTTTATGACTTGGTAGCTATTATAGCTGGATGTGTTCAAACACTATTATACATTGATTTCTTCTACCTTTATGTCACTAGAGGTAAGAGGTCTGGTTTATATTTTGCCCTTAGAATTGTGGCTTGATACACGAATGTTAGTGGAATTGTTGAGTTACATCGTATTGTCTGTCGGTTTCTCGGAACCATGACTTAACAACATAGTGGTCTGTATAGAATAAATGGAATATGGTTGGTGGTGGAATCCAGGGTGAACACTGTCCTATTTGAAACTTTTTAACTAGATGTACCTGCTTCTCAGAGTTGATAGCCACTCCGAAATTCGAATCCAGTACCTTTAGCTTCAAACACTAACGCATTATCTCTTAGCTGATAAATCCACATAGCCGCTCACTTGTGGAATGGGTCTGAATTTTAATTCAATTTGTAGTTGTTTAAACTATCTCGTTGTTAAGTATTTCGTAATTAGTTTTGGCATATGTTGCATATCACCTCAATATACCGGTTGTCACAAGTTTATATAGAGCAGATGAAATGTGGCTACCAGGGGAATTCAGGACCCGCGTTTCGTCGTATTTAGGGTTCATCACCTGGATGTCCCCATATTCACAGCTAGTCACTCCATCTATTCTGTATTAACTTGCGACAATTGGTATCTTGAGGCAATCCTCACAAGATGCACGTATACTAAGATTGATCAAATTTCAGTCAAAATATTCATCAGTGAGATAACCCAAGTTACTATAAATTGGGATTCAAGTAGTCAGTTTTCAGTCGTCGGATTGCAGGTTTAAACCAAATTGTGTTTAGTTGAGGTGGTGTTGCTTATTAACAAAAGCATTTTTCTTTTAGCTACCTAGTGTTAAATTCAAGTCTTACTTCACCTCTTTTCATTTATACAGCTGGATAGCATCATCAAAATAAAATGCATGACTAAAAATCCTACATGCACGAACCTTTGCACAGTACATAGTTCCAAATATTTCTATTATCACTCAGATGTAGAATAAAGTCCAGTATAACAATTTGCATTTAGTTAATGACTTGCATTAACAATAATTTGATTGTCTCTAAAAACTGGACTGTACTCATACTCATATCTTTTCACTTCATGCAATAGATTGTGGGTAGACTACGCTATTATCTCATACGCGCTGTATTTTTCATACTTTGTATGCAATCATATCTGATTCCTCGGGTACCTTTTTTTAGCCTAATATAGGTTTTTATCAGAACTAACAATGTTACATTTATTATAGATGTATACCTATATTAAAAATTTTCAGTTATATCTAAATTGATATCTCTGAAACTGTTACTACTTCTACTCTTTTGTCATTTATCTTGGTAGTTTCATCTCACTTTGTTGATATAATATTATGACTTGAATCGATGTGCATATATTCTATGTTCTACGTTGTTTATGACTGATTGACTAAATTAATTGCAAGGAGTATGGATTATACGGAGACTCTAAAATCAATAAAGGTTAGATGATATACATTTTAGCATGAACTTCTATTTAAAAAGATGTGTACTTTAACTAACAGAAAAATAGTCTGTCACAAGTAATAATAATCAATATGAAAAAAAACACTTATATGTTGTAAAAATCATAATTGGCTGATCACTCCTTGTAGTTCTAATAGCTGAAAACCGTTGTGTTATAAATTAAGTATCTGGTGAGATATTTTGGTCAACATTTAAACCTATACATTAAATATTAAATTAAAAGTCAATAATTGTGTGTGTACAATTATTTACTAATTCTTATATATTGGTACTTTTAATTAAAACATAACTGTTTTTTTCACTTTGTTGTTCTATTTCATAGTACTCAAAGGTCGCCAACTTATTCTTCCAGTCTGAGAAAAAAGGGTGTGTTGTAATTTTCGATTAATATCTTGTTTAGCAATATTTCGTTACAATATTGGTTCATTTGTCTTAGTGGTAAATTTGTTGAAAACATGTTCAGACCTCAAGTGCCCAGCTAAATCGATTCATTACTGGTTCTATTCAGTTTAATGTTCTTCTTGAACTATAAACTTTGCTTTCCTTCTCTTATCTATGTGTTTTTCTATCCAGTATTATTGACTTCACTGTTTATGGTTTCATAAGAATATAAGTGACATGGACTATTTGGTGTGTTTGTTTTATTTTATGTATTTATATATAAGAAAGTGTTCGCTTCGCTTCATTTTCCCTTAGAAATGTAAAACGCTTTCAACCCATATATATATATATATATATATATATATATATATATATAAACGCCGTCTTAATAACCGGTTAATATATGTGTCTAAGTACCCAACAAAAATACTTCATTTTTCTATAACTTGCTTCATAATATACTTGATTATTTCAAAAACTTTTTTTGACTTATTTGTTTACTTGTCAAATTTTGTTAACACTTCTTTTTTGCTTCTGTTTGCTCCCCTCTTTCAAATAAATTAAACATCATAAATGACTATTTTGCAGTTTTCTGACTTTTTATTTCATTTAAGATTGAGTTGAATCTACTTATCAAGGCTAATGGTATAGTTTTTTCAAATCATCTTTTTATGTAGAAATATGTGTTTGAGTCGTAACGCAAAAGCCGCGGTTATGGAAATACATGTCTAATTAATGATTGGATGATAAGGAAAATACTTGTGTTACAGAAATTCCTGTAAATTATTTTACAGTCCACCGATAAATTTTCCTTTATTAATGTCACTAACCGACCTATGTTCGATATCCATTGAAAATGAGGTAGCACTGGACAGCTGTTCTTCCTAGTACATGATTTAGCAATGCACATTCGGAGCTCCGCCATCGGAGATCGAACTCATAACCTTCGGTCTCTGCGAACATTCACACAAAAAACTACGACTTTTCTGCAGTATTTATATTTTTACGGACGTGTGTCGATAAAATTCACTCTTTGGTTGATGAGTTATTTACAAATATGGATCGATTATTTTCACAGTTAGTAAATTATGTTGGATTCTATGTTTTATTCATTGTGTGAATATTTTGAAGTAGTCTAAATTATATTCAGTCTTCCTTGCCGTCCACCTCGAACCAAATAATATCTCAATAGAGTGTACATTGGCAACTTCCTTACAGTAGCGGGTACATTTTAACTTGATCGATAGAACTCGGTCAGTACCAAGTACTGGACAAACGCCACATTGGTCACTACTCAGCGATCGATCAATTCGCAATATCTCAGATCTACATGAAATCAATCGCGGCCCAAATAGCCTGGTAATAATTTCTTAATCCGTAAAGCTAGACGATGTTCAAATTTCCCTGTCCGATTACTTTCAACCACCCAACAGAGAAAATGGTTCTTAAAACGTAAACTTTATTTACAATGAATTACTTGTTTATGACTATGTCAGTAACAGTCAGAGGCCATTTCAAAACGTGAAACTAGAATATTATGGATATAAAGTCCCAACTATTCGCTGAATGTCAGTTTTATTCATTGATTCAGAAATCCTTTTAAGTAAGATGGTTTCATGAAAGTGAATGTTAGAGTTGATCTGTTTTTCATCTCAACAGTTATAGTAATGTTTGGAAAAATGATCAACATAAAGAGATGCCTAAAACGGTTGTCTATTATTGAGCTGAAAGTGAACCAGTAATTTAGCTAGTTATTTTTCACGTGTCTCGCGATAAATCTGAATTGGGTGGAAGACTGATTTTCCGTAGGTCTATGCACATATAAATTGAGAGCTCATTCAAAATTTTTCCGAATTATTGATTTTCCCAGATTGTTCTGTTGAAAACTGCCGTATCTTCAAATTTCACAATAGGTTGTCTTATAAGCTGGATAGTAACAGTCATTGGTGAGAGGCTCAACATCATAACGCTTTCATTAAATTATCAGTCGAAATTAATAGGATGAAGTGGTTGGATGTTTATTAGCTGTAGCGAGAGATAAGTTAGTTGCCTTAATACAAATGGAATCTCTTCAATGTCCTAACTGGTAACGCTGATCCAGATGATTGTCAACGTTATAGTACTTACAACAGCATTACACTTTCCCTGGAAATGCATTTATGTGATCCGGGGATCAAATATGTTGAATATAGGTTGTAAATATATACTAAAATCACTTATTCTTTCAATACATAACTTATTACGTAGTCACTAGATCAATAATGTGGATGTAGCCTATGAATGTGTTGTCTTTAAAACCCACAGACCAATATCACGTGCCAGTCACCAATTCTAATTTGGTCTGCCATTCACACTATGATCTAGCGTCTCTGACTTGGCCACTTACATGCCTGACCAGCACTATTGGCTTTGAAGTGGCATCCAGGTTTCCAGTGATTCACTATACGCTGGCTCCCTTCTATGCCCATCTTCTGAGTTCAAAAGTTGCAACCAGTCTACTACGTTTATATTTCAAACACGTGGTTATTATGTGGAAATACGAGACCACATCACAGCATCAAATAAAGAATACCAATTATACATGAACAAGTCAAAAGTGGCTCTTAGTAGGTAACAAATTAGGAATAGTAAGTCGCATGTTGGTGGTCAATGGGTTAGCCGAAAGTTTATGAATAATAGGATGCATATACGTAGTAATCTAGTTACTTAGTAATTATACCATTAAATTATAATTAAGAATAATTCGAAAGATCAGTTCCAACTTCTGCAATATCCGTTCTGTTATAATAGAATGTAGAAATGTTTCATTGATTGGGAAAGTGTACAACTTGTTTATAAGTCATCTGTTTTGACATGTAACATCAATCAAGGTCGATAATTTAGTGATTTAAAATGTCTAAAAATTCGATTCATAAACTGAAATGCCACTATACCATACTATCGATAGAACTGACTAACTTGGTGAGACTATTATTTATGGACGATCTTTAAGTGACGCTGATTTGACTTCGAAAGTGTATACCTAAGAGCCAGGACCAAACGAGGGTCATAAATGAGTGTGAGGAATTAGAATTATGATTTGCAGTTGATGGTTGTGGTTAAGAATTAGATTTAGCGTTTTCATTACGAACTGACATAAGCTATAATGCCAATACTCCATTTACCCAAATGAATGAATGAATTTCGCGCCAAAAACCCGAGACCTGTTATCCTATATCTGATTGGTTCGTTTATAAATTATAGTCTTGTCGCTAACTTTCATATTATTAGGTGTGGCATATAGCTCATAGTAATATCACATAATAATCATTAAATTTCATTTGTCTACTTTTTTCATATTATTGATATTTATTGATTTTAATGGCCTATTCGGTTAAACCATTATCAATAGCTTTATATGTCCCTTATGTTGTTACAATGTATGAAATCCCGCTTTCTTGAGGGGGAGGAAAAGAAAGTGATTGCAATGACGTAATTATGATCTTGGGAAGCTTTTAATTGTTAAATTCTATGTATTCAAATAAGTTGTAAGATCTATTTTATAATAAATGTGTACTATATCACTATTGTTGTTAATTGAATATGTGATTCTTAGAAACGGGTTTTGTGGATCATATAGTAATTTAATAGTTGAGTTCATAAGTCAATTGAAGCTAGACCACCATGGAAAACCTGGAAGCACTGAACAACCATTCCGTCCTAATGTGAGACTCTTCAGCAGTTTGAATCCACGATCCCCCCCGCGAGATTCTAACTCAAGGTCTATCAGTATTGCGCGCGAGCGCTTAACGATTAGACTACTGAGCCGGCATCCTTATTATTATTTCTTACATTTAATCTGTCTAGTTGATCTTTTAATTTTTATATAACAATGTCTTAACAATCACATTATGTGTGGTCAGATCGATTTTGAAATGTATTACGCGAATATATCATCACATAATTCTGATAAACTTCATCCTCTCATTGCATTATCGAAAGATATAAATAGGAAATTTTTTTCTATTTTAATGAAGGTTTTTAATTTGCAATTGTTAATATTCAATAATTCAATGAATCAATTCTTGTTACTATCTGGGTATCTCATATAGATTACCCTTAATAAAGACTTAAATTACAGATTTTAGTATATCTATTCTATAATGATTAATCTCAGTCAGCAACAACGTCCGAACACTGTGCCAAATAGGACAACAGACTTCCTTAGCTAGGACTTTAGAATTTCGCGCCATCGATGTGTGCTTCGTCTCCGAAACGCGTATACACGATCCGTGTAGTGTCATTCATTTGATCTCACCATGTCAAAATAAGGAACCAACTCGATTCACGCTTCGTGTATCTGGAACATATCATCGGTGTATATACTTGAAACTCAGTGTTAATATAAATAATTCTTATAGATTTTTTTCTTCTACTCACTAGGTAAGTTTACAATTGAACTCATTATTGATCGATTGATCATATAAAGTTTTGTAAGGTAATAAAAATGTAATGACCAAATAAAAATATTGATTAATGTACCGTGTTTTCTTTGTTGTTTTTTTTTTTTTTTTTTCTTTTTTTTCTTTTACTCTTTTATATTATAAGATTATATTAATAAATTGTAACTAAGACACATAGTATTTTTGTGTTATTTATTTTCAAAAAGAAAAGGTATCTTATTTAATGTCAACTATTAAATTATAACAATAATTAATAATGACTATTACTAACTTCAATTGAATAAAGATTAATTTTTTTATTATCAGTTTGGGGTTGTGAAGATTGGTAAGTTTTTGATTGAGATCATGAATTGATCGATATTAGATCACCATTTGCAAAGCTGAAAGTATTAGACGACTATTTTGTTCTAGTATAGGACAACTTAACAATGTGCATTCACGATTCTGCACATAAGATTGAAATCCAGGATCTTTATTTTCCCGTGCAAACGCTCAACCTCTAATTTTTCAGTTGAATAGGTTGATTTTTGTCTAGTAGATACATTCTTCAACAATATATATATATATATATATATATATATATATATATATATATATATACGTATATCTGTCATTTGTTCAGTCTGAAATCAAAATATAACTGACATACAAGGAGATTGGATGAAAGTTAGAGATTGTTAAACAAGCACTATTGTAATAACTTCAGTTCTAAGTTTCTTAATTTCGTTTCATATATTAACATACGTAAAAATAGAATTTTTTTATTTCGTTGTATGAATTTAACGTTATCCTTCATAGATATAGATGATGCTTTTTTCACAGGAAATCTGTTGATATGTGACTGCCATACAAATGAAATAAGTACCTATCCACACTTAATTCCCTCTACCAGGGAAGTCCTACTCACTGCCTTCTCGT